CAATCGCATCGTCGGGACGATTCCTAGCAGAAGACACCCAGACCCCGAAGCCAGATACTCGTGCTTGCATTAAAAAGTTTGTTCACAGCATATAGACGCAACAGGACTGGCTAGGGTTTAGGCTGGGAGTACTTCGGGCGGTAGGGGTGCGGTCTAGGATGTCTGTGGAAAACCCTTTGCAAGGCCTCTGATCCTGCCTCAAGCGGGGAACAGCTGCTGCCAGATCTGAGTCGGCAGGATTTATGTGCTCGCCGCATAGGTTCCATAGAGCTTCGTGCGCCTGGGTACTAATATACCTAGAAAATAGGCCCCGTAACTGGAGCGTAGCTGGGGCGTAGCTGGGGACCCTCAATGGCCTGGAAAAGCTGGTCTTTCATAGCAGAAAGCGTGATTCAGCGTAACTGGCCGTGACTGGCCCCGCGACGTACCTCTATATATTCCAGCCGAACCCCCGCCTTTCTATAGAGCTGCTTCCTGTCCTGATGCTCTGGGCTTGGGGATTGGGAGCTTTTCCGGCTTGAACAGACGTTTGCGAGCACCCTTACAATCCAGTGTGCTGTCATGCCGCCTAAGATCGTAGACCCTATGGAGGCCGGATCTTGCAGACTCTTGCAACGGGCTCTAGACCCATTTCCAAGCACTCCCCTTTCCAATAATCCCAGCCAGGCAGCGATGGCTGCTGTCCAGCAGGCTCGGCAGAAGATGGCAACTGCAAAGGCCAGGAATCTTAAAGGCAAGACCCTCGGCCCCACCAAAGCCCAACCCGCCCCAGGCTGCCGGTATGGAGCTGAAGAAGCGGAAAGAACGACCTGGACGTCATGCATCGACGAGCAGTCTGACCACGGCGACCTCCGACGCCCCCAGCGAGATGCCCCCGAGCCCAGCCAAGGTGACCCCGGATCCCAAGCACCCTAAGCTACTTGAGGAGGACGGCCCATCAAGCATTCCCCGCAACCTCATCAACGAGTTCGAAGCGGTTGCTCGTTCAGGCCATGCTTGGGGATCATCTACTACTACTACTACTACTACTACTACTACTACTACTACTACTACTACTACTACTACTACTACTACTACTACTACTACTACTACTACTAGTACTACTACGACTACTACGACTACTACTACTACTACTACTACTACTACTACTCCTACTACTACTACTACTACTACTACTACTACTACTACTACTACTACTACTACTACTACTACTACTACTACTACTACGTACAGTAGAAATATACCCCACATTATTAGATGCAATCGCATGAGCCGGTTGCATCTAATAATGTGTGGTGGTGGTGCTGCTGCTGCTGCTGCTCCTACTGTACTACTACTACTACTACTACTACTACTACTACTACTACTACTACTACTACTACTACTACTACTACTGCTGCTGCTACTCCTACTAATAATATAAATATACCAATAATTACTACCACTACTACTACTACTACTACTACTACTACTACTACTACGACGACGACCGGTTGTCTTTGCGGATTCAAGCCTCCGAAGCATGGGGATTTTGGCCAAGGGTTTTGGGCTACATGTAAGACTATATATGGGGAGTTTAGGCTGCCTGCCTAGGCCCTGTTGCCTATAACCGCATCATCTGCTAGCTAGCCGCTCTCTACAAAATAGAAACCCATATAAGCCCTGGAACTTCTGATGCATTGCCTCGGTTCTTTTGCGGCGACACGCCAGGACCTCGGGAGCAGAGCTTGCATGCTTTGCTGCAGGAGCCTGCTGCTGGGCGAGCTATAGACACTTTCGGAATGGAGTGAATCGTAGATTTGATGACGCTTCTAGCCCAGGATGCTCAAGCAGCCCTGTCCCAGGGCAAGAACCCGTACGAGGCAGCATGCACTGCCTTGGATGCCCAGGATTACGACCCAGCGGTATTGCAAGTTGCGACGAGTCCTATACATATATATATATATATATGATGTCCCAAACCCTGAAACTCCATCCAGGAAGGCTCCGGTTCGAGGGTCGAGATGAAGCTGCATGCCCGGCACAAAGTGAAACAGGACGGCCTAGTGCATTATTTAACCCTAGGCCTGAAACCTCAACCCTGAAGCCAATTCCAAGCCTCTCGCAGGAGCCGTCTTCTCCGGCCCCGCCAGATCGCCCTCAGCAGGACATTTCATTCTAACCGTGATCTGACGCCTAAGTCGGATAACCGGCTAACTTGAGGCTGGGCTCACGAAGGAGTCTTCTACTGTTACTGTGGCGACGAAACCGCCGCTGCATTCCGAGAGCACAACCCCGCAGGACGTGCCACTGTAAGCTACTTCGCTCAAGCTGGAACCGCTTGAAATCGAAAAGCGAAACAATCAGGAGCCGTCTGCTGCTGTTGCGAAGCAGAGTCAGAATGCCCAGCACAAGGTCTTGCAGGACATGACCGTAAAAGCCCTGCAAAACTAATTAAACAATAATGACCCAGGAGCCATCTACTGCTGTCGGGAAGAAGAGTCAGTTCTTGAATGCCCAGTACACAGCCGAGCAGGACAACCCTCTAGATAGAATCCCCTAAACCCCTGAACCCTAACCCCTAAACCCTAAACCCCTAAACCCTTAAGCCCTAAACCCCTAGACCCTAAACCCCTAAACCCTAAACCCTAGACCCTAAATCCCTAACCCCCTAAAACCCTAAACCCCTAAAATTCGATCAAACATTGCCCAGGAGCCACCTACTGCCGTCGAGAAGAAGAGTCAGAATGCCCAGTACAAAGCCGAGCAGGACAACCCACTAGATAGAATGCTTCGCTAAACCCCTAAACCCTAACCCCTAAACCCTAAACCCCTAAACCCCTAAACCCTTCAACCCTAAACCCCTAGACCCTAAACCCCTGAACCCCTAAACCCTAAACCCTAGACCCTAAACCCCTAAACCCCTAAAGCCCTAAACCCCTAAAACTCGATCAAACATTGCCCAGGAGCCATCTACTGCTGTGGAGAAGAAGAGTCAGTTCTTGGATACCCAGTACAAAGCCGAGCAGGACAGCCCACTAGATAGAATGCTTCCCAAACCCTGAACCAACGACTTCGAAACTACGGGAGTCTACATCCAGGAGCTGTCTACTGCTGCCCGGGAGAAGAGTCAACCATCGGACGCCCGGAACAATGCCCTCCAGGACACCAGTTCAAATATTGCCCCAAATCCGAAACCCCATAACCCAATAAAGGGTAGGCTCTTAAGTCCTGCATCCAGGAGCCGTCTGCTGGTCCGGCCGACAAGAAGCAGCCCGAGCAAATGCAGAAGCATGTCCAGGACCTCGTGTTGAAACAAGAGTTTGTGATTCGGCTTGTTGCAAATATTTTGGCAGCTACTTGACTCTAGCTATACCGAATCCAGGATCCGTCTACGCCAGTGGTCGACACAAAACCCAAGCTGGCCCACGCACTGGACCAGGACTGAGCCGAAACAGTTAAGACTAGATTATGTATATGGCAGCCACCCCCACAAAGCTTAAACCCCAAACTAAACTATATATTATTTACATATATACCACGCACCGTGAAACAAGAGCCCTGGAACGCCCAAATTTAAGATCAAATACCGGAAGCCTTAACCCTAAGTCCTAGAGAACCAACCATGCATGTGTATATGTATATGTATATGTATATATATATATATATATGTAGTCACCGTGTGTGTATATATATATATATATATGCATGCATGCATGTGTGTGTGTCTATGAGCAGATACGATGTGCATGCAGGGAGACACACATACACACATGCACAAACCTAGCATGTCTATATATGGAAAGGACGGAGATGTGGAGATGACAAGGGCCAAGGCCACACCAGTCCGAGGTATCCTACGACTTCCCCATGTCGCCGACGTGGGTGGAACATCGGACTTCGAGAGGCCTGTGACGTATGTGGACTTGGAAAGCTACGTGAACCTCAAGAGTCGGGATGATCCCGAGCTGCCGGGACTTTTGAGTCACATCAACTTCGTCGAGTTTGTGGAAGTCCGGAGGCTGGACGAGGGGGATCAGTACCGCTTCGGCGACGATCCCGAGGACAAGGCATTGTTCGAGAACTTCAACAAGTACTACGACAATATCAAGAACAACATCCGGGAAAACGCCCCGGAGCTTTGGGTCAAGATGGCGGATTTCGGCCCCGGCAAAATGGTTCGCCTGAACCACTCCGTTGTCCAAGGAGCGATGAAACAGACTGTGCAGGGCATCATCAAACGACACAGTTCCGGCGACCTCGGCAGCCCCGCATCAAGTGTGAAAGCACCCAGCACAGCCGCTGCAAATCCCCTGTCCATGCCGCCACCATCCACCCTCCCGCCGAAGCGAGAGCAGCGAGAGAAGCCACTCCCGCCGGCCCCGCCGTCGGACACGGACGAAGCTTTGTCGTTGGCTGCTGAGGACTTGTGGAATTGAAGTGTGTTGGTGGAGAGTTCGGCATTAAGTGACTTAATAATAATATATACTATATACACGTTTAGAAACTTTCCCCAGGACTCCGAGTGCGATGAGTGGCTCCAATATTGGAAAGAGAGCCGAGCCCGCTATATGCGGTTTCACCGCAGCCTCAAGAGTTGCTCATCCATAAACCTCCCTAAACCCTGAAGTCCACCGTATAGGGATTGCAATGAATTCCTAAACTCTTCTGGATCTAAACCCCTAGTATAGCCAACCCCTGAAGTCCCAAAGCCTAAACCCTAAACCCCGAACCCCTAAATTAATTGAGCCGGAACTGAACACTCCCAGGCAAGAGGACCCCTCCCTGCATCGTCGAGAAGGCCAAGGAGCTCAGATCCAGTGGCGAAGGCTTCCACATGCTCTACGAGGAATTCCTCAGTGCTGGTGAAGATTGGGTCTCCTCGACCCTCGTGCAGTTTCTTCAGAAGAAGCAGCAGAACAAAAAGCGGGGATTGTGGAAGTGGGGAACGAGAGCAGCATCTTTGCCGCAATAGCGATTTCTTTCAAAGCTACGGTTTCAAACTCTGTGTCGACCGATGCATGCCGCATTTAGTGGAGGACTTGTTGAGAAAGTACAACGACAACACAGACGTTGTCAACGAGCTGATTGAAAAGAAGATGAAGCTTAAGCTCTACCGCGACCACCCAGAGTTGGCGGACAGAGAGGCCCAGAGAGAGAGAGAGAGAGGAAAGAGAGAGAGAGAGAGAGGTAGAGGGAGAGATATATAGAGAGACAGAAAGAGAGAGAGAGAGAGAGAGAGAGAGAGAGATAGAGAGAGAGAGAGAGAGAGAAAGAGAGAGAGAGAGAGAGAGACAGAGAGAGAGAGAGAGAGAGAGACCCGCACAGAGAGAGACAGAGAGACCAGGAGAGCAAGAGATGGCAGGACCTCCGCCTCTACAAGTACTGGGACTGCTTCGATGAGCAGGACGTCGAGACAACCACGACAGCCCAGGAGCTACGCAACGAACGGGAGTTGTCGCAGGCAGATGCACGGCTTTTGAGGCCACCTCTTGAAATCAATAGCCTAGCCTTACTATTATTAGACCTCCCTGATTATCGGAGTTCCGAATCCTTAAATTAGAACCACTCGCTAGTATCCATGAAACCAAGCTTTAACATACCCGTCCCAGGGATGAGCCGGAGCTCTTGGCCCCGCCAGCGAGCTCGAGCAATTGCTTCCCGCAGAAGGGTAAGGGTAAAAATGGAAAAGGCAAGGGCAAGAATAAATCCAAGCCTGGGGGAGAAGGCAAGGGTCATGATGCTCATGAGAAGCCAGTGAAGACTGTGGACCAGCGAGCTAAAGTGGCTTCTTGCTTGGATACCTAGATTCCAGACCCTGCTTTAAAATTTTCTTCTTGTATATCAAGATCCAGTGAGCCTATACTTGATGATTATTAGGCCTGGGGTTTAGCTTATAATAGAGGGGTGAAGGCCAAGATCTTCTGATTTAAGTGAATATCCGCTCAGGCTACCAGCCAGTGCAACGGGCATCTCATGGAGATTATGGGAGTGGAGCACAAGCTTGATGCCAACCCGGATGTGCAACTCGACCTACAACTATACATGTATATATATATAGCAGAAGCCCCGAAACCGCTCTATATCCAAAGTTTGAAGCCATACAGAGGCCGGACGCGATGAAGACGGGCCTTGTCCAAGAGATGCAAGGCCATCGCCAGTCGATGGAGTTGGCATTGCAGAACCTGCAGGCCAGGTCAACATATTGTTTTTTGTTGAAAGCTATCCTGTTTGCACAGGAGAAGATGGCCAAGGGATCGGTGGGCGATGCCATGCTTGACGAAGTCGTGGCTCTGGAAATTGCGATCGCAAACTTCATTTCAAAGGTAAAGCATGTGCGAAAGCTTTACCCTAAGAAGGAGAAGCCGGCGGCAAAGTCGTAGACGGCTAGTTACTAGTTTTGCTAGCGATTTCGGCAGCATGCCAGCAGAGCTAGACTGACACCCTCGGAATACCTAGCAACATGATTATAGCATAAGTCAGCTTATCCGGGGCCTGGGATCAGTCGACGCTTTTAGGAGGCATGCCTAGGGCCGATTTCGTGAGTTTGAAGCGCCACTCTGATGCACACGTCGGTCGTGAATGTTCGCGACGAGCCTCGAGGATCGTGCAAAATATTTCAAAGCCCGCCACACCTTCTCGACAAGATACCGTTTTAACACTTCTGTCTATATATGCTCGCCAGGTACACGCTTGGATGATCTCGAGAATGCAAAGTTCGCAGATCATTTGCTGGGAAAGCTTGGGAAGTCAGTCTATTCCTCAGACCGATTCTAAAAACCTGTAGTTCTCGAATATAGAGGCCAATCACTAAAGTCTAGATCCTAGCAGAAACCGTCGCAGCATGTGCCGAGAGTTAAAACCCCTAAACAATAATCCCCTTACGTGTGCAACCACCAAACTGTTAAAACGGAAAGCCTCAACCCGTAGGATCTCAATTTTGTTATGGTAAGTTGCATTCGATCGACGCAGCTTAAACCCTGAACCTATTAGCCCCAAAACCTAATCAAGGATCACTACAACCAGCAGAAGCCCAGATATCATGAACCGTGGCAGCTTTCCTACATGGCCATTATATGAAGGCTCCATATATATCCCATATAGTATGTACTTTTAAGCCTTATCAGTTGACCCTATATATATATACATGACATAGCCATACTAGATGGGTACATGGAGCCTTCGGGTATAACCCTAGCTAAAACCCCTATAAACCCTAAAACCCACTCATTAATTAATTATAACCCTTAATATGGCTGGGCCAAGGCCTCCAGCTGCATCGAGATTCAGCAAGCAGCCGCCGCAGCCGTCGAGGCTGCATGGGACTCCCAAGCAGCCCTTTATCTACTGATCTTGGTACCCTAACATCATAATGTATCTTTGCCAGCTCGATACCACCTGATACCGGTTGCCAGACACTAGTGCTGCGATGAAGCAATGACTTGAATGTTGTCTGCTACTGCACAGACCACCAGGAGAGCTCTGGCAACGTCTCAGAGCTCACGAAGAGAATCGCGAGGCAGATGTCGGGGCCCACAACTGAAACACAATATACCCGGAAAATATTTGGAACGATATGCAGTGTATGTATATATATATATATATATATTATTAAATGTTAACCCTACATCGATACCTCAATATCCCCGCGAGAAGCTCCCAAAAGAAAGACTGGTTTACTCCAGCAGAAAACCGTTTGTATTAGACCCTCGTATACTGGTACTACTACTACTACTACTACTACTACTACTACTACTACTACTACTACTACTACGACTACTACTACTACTCCTACTACTACTACTACTACTACTACTACCACTACCACCATCGATCACTAGTACTGCTGTTGCTGTCTCTGGTACTGGTGCTACTGCTGCTGCTGCTACTAGCTAGGGCTAAGACGACAACTACTAGTCCTATCCGCACTGCCAACTTTACTGCTGCTCCTGGTGCTGCTAACTGGTCTTTTCTTGACAGGATCGCTGGCGGCGGCCGGCATCCGCAGAACGCGGAGCGAGACTTGTTTCGAGCTCTGGAACTTCCTGTAGCTGCTGGCCTCTAGATATAGTACGAGCAGTTTAATTAAATGTTTCAGTTGCAAAATATTACTATGTCTGGTCCGAGTCGTCCCCCAATATCAAGGCCTTTTACTGGGTGGAGCTCGTCGTCAGAGACCCCAAGAATCTCAAGGAAAGGACAAAGCTCTGGTTCCCTCTGCTGCTTCCGCATGAACTCCTACATTACCTCAATGCGGCCTGCTTGTACCCAATGTTCATTATTTTTCCTGGTCAGACTTGTAATTTGAGACCCTGTAGCCTTGAAGCAGTCCTTCGTAAAATGAGCTTAAGGAGACTGGCAAATGCGATTGCCGCAAGAACCTCTCTGCCATCCGGCAGTACTGGAGCTGGGCTATTGAGCATAAGCATCCTTGGGCTACACGTCATCCTGGTGCAGGCAAGGATGCCTGCCCTGTCGGGCTCTACGGTTGCTTGCCAATATTATTTTTTGGGTAGCGATAGTTTATATATATATATATATACATATCTATAAGAATATATACATATTAATAGTGAATTTAATTTGTACGCACGTACAAGACGCCATACCGAGGCGACGAGGCCCGGTACACGCTCATGGGAGACAAAGTTTTGGCCCTGGGCATGAACTTGGTATTAGAAGACATCAAGTGTTTGGATGTGGCTCGCTTCCCATTGTTTGTCTTGAGAGCCGAGCTTTTGATAAACTTCGAGAAGACGATGCAGCCGGTGCTTCTTGCACTGGCTTGGTCCTTTGAGGCTTGCTTCCAGGGAGTCTTTCCTGCAAAAGACCCCTGGGGCATGGAGCTTGAAGGTGCCCGAGCCAAAAAGGCTGGAAGGCCTATCCAGGGCATCATGCGAGAAGTTTAGCAATTCCTTGTTACTTGTCGTTGAGTCGTCGAAATTAATTATAAGGGGTATTGATAGTTTGTCGGGTCAAGTTTCCACAAGGCTCGCCGTACGCATTGACCGAGATTCGAGGCGATTGGGCTTGGATGCAGAAGTTCTGGAAAATGAACCATTCCTGGTCGAAGGGAACCAATATCTGTCATGCTTGCCACGCAAAGACCTCTGGGATCTACGCCTGGCAGCAGCTCACAGTGTCCAATCAGCCCTCGCGATCAACGGCGGACTTTATTGTCAATGTGTTGCCAGAGCACTTCGTTTGCACAAAGCTTGTTTGAGTATATTATGGCGACTACTAGAATACGTAGAAGTTTTTTTTGACGAGTCGAGGTGGGTGAATCCCGTTGCAACATCCAGAAATTTCGATGCCTCCATGCTGCGCTTTTGCAGCATGCATGTAGTCAACCTCGGCATTCTGCAATATGTCCTGGGCTCCGCGGTTTCCTTGCTGGCAGAAGTGCACGGTTTTTTTGGACCTGGCAAGCTGCCTGAGCGGTTGACGGAAATGACTGAGCGATTCAAGCGGTGGGCCTCAAGCTGCGGCATCACCCACTCCCAGGGTTACATCACACAGGGTATGCTGCATCACAAGAAGCGGGGGACTGAATATCCTCTTCTCAGCCTTAAGGCCTACAACGGCAGAGTTTTCCTGCCCTTCATTTGCCTATGCCTTCGTTTGCTCTGGCAGCAGACAGCGGATTTGGAAGTTGGTCTCGCTTACTACTGCTGCGAGCGACTCTCCGCTTGGATGGATGGCCTGGAACGCTGCCCGAGATATCTTTCCGAGGCACAAGCAGATATGCTGGCTGGACACGCTCTGCGATTCTGTGAGATCTACCTGAAGCTCGTCCGGTTGGGCCTCGCGAAGAATGTCTTGAGATGGCACCTCGTGCCGAAGTTCCACGTGTATATCCGACATCTGGTCCAGGAGGTGCAAACCTCGCGGTACAATCCGCGGTTCCACCATACTTATCTGGATGAGGATATGATGGGCACGGTCAAGGCATTATGCAAACGTGTTCACCGATCGTGGATGGAGCCGAGAGTTCTCGGGCGATGGCTCTTGAGGCTGCTGGTCTGGAAGCCACGGTGAGTGCAGCCGGGAGCAAAAAGATCGATTTGGAATTAATGGGCCAGACGGATTCGGTTTCCACGGAACCCCTAAAACCCTACCTCGAAAGCCTTTAACCTCTGTACAAGAAGCAACCGACCCGAAAAGATCGCTTTCAGCTTCTAGGGAACACCCTAAAACCCTACCTCCAAAGCATTTTAACCTCCGTATGAAACAACCGACCCGAAGCCATGAACCCATGACTTGGAAATCCTGGGCGCAAGTCCTAGAGCCAGGAACAAAGGCCCAAACACGAAAGGCCACCACTATCTAGCACAAAGGAGCCATTGGGAAAGGTCCCGAGACCCTAAATAAACCCTAAAGGTCCCTAGACCCTAAATAAACCCTAAAGGTCCGTAGACCCTGAATGAACCCTACAGGTCCCTAGACCCTATCTAAACCCTAAAGGTCCCGAGACCCTAAATAAACCCTAAAGGTCCCTAGACCCTAAATAAACCCTAAAGGTCCGTAGACCCTGAATGAACCCTACAGGTCCCTAGACCCTATCTAAACCCTAAAGGTCCCGAGACCCTAAATAAACCCTAAAGGTCCCTAGACCCTAAATAAACCCTAAAGGTCCGTAGACCCTGAATGAACCCTACAGGTCCCTAGACCCTATCTAAACCCTAAAGGTCCCGAGACCCTAAATAAACCCTAAAGGTCCCTAGACCCTAAATAAACCCTAAAGGTCCCTAGACCCTAAATAAACCCTAAAGGTCCCGAGACCCTAAATAAACCCTAAAGGTCCCTAGACCCTAAATAAACCCTAAAGGTCCGTAGACCCTGAATGAACCCTACAGGTCCCTAGACCCTATCTAAACCCTAAAGGTCCCGAGACCCTAAATAAACCCTAAAGGTCCCTAGACCCTAAATAAACCCTAAAGGTCCCTAGACCCTAAATAAACCCTAAAGGTCCCTAGACCCTAAATAAACCCTAGGTCCGAGACCCTAGACCCTGAACCCTACAGGTCCCTAGACCCTATCTAAACCCTAAAGGTCCCGAGACCCTCAATAAACCCTAAAGGTCCCTAGACCCTAAATAAACCCTAAAGGTCCCTAGACCCTAAATAAACCCTACAGGTCCCTAGACCCTATCTAAACCCTAAAGGTCCCTAGACCCTAAATAAACCCTAAAGGTCCGTAGACCCTGAATGAACCCTACAGGTCCCTAGACCCTATCTAAACCCTAAAGGTCCCGAGACCCTAAATAAACCCTAAAGGTCCCTAGACCCTAAATAAACCCTAAAGGTCCCTAGACCCTAAATAAACCCTACAGGCCCCTAGACCCTAAATAAACCCTCAAGGTCCGTAGACCCTGAATGAACCCTACAGGTCCCTAGACCCTATCTAAACCCTAAAGGTCCCGAGACCCTCAATAAACCCTAAAGGTCCCTAGACCCTAAATAAACCCTAAAGGTCCCTAGACCCTAAATAAACCCTGCAGGTCCCTAGACCCTATCTAAACCCTAAAGGTCCCCAGACCCTAAATAAACCCTAAAGGTCCCGAGACCCTGAATGAACCCTACAGGTCCCTAGACCCTAAATAAACCTTAAAGGTCCCTAGACCGTAAATAAACCCTAAAGGTCCCGAGACCCTAAATAAACCCTAAAGGTCCCTAGACCCTAAATAAACCGTAAAGGTCCCTAGACCCTATCTAAACCCTAAAGGTCCCTAGACCCTAAATGAACCCTACAGGTCCCTAGACCCAAAATAAACCCTACAGGTCCCTAGACCCTATCTAACCCCTAAAGGTCCCTAGACCCTAAATAAACCCTAAAGGTCCCTAGACCCTAAATAAACCCTACAGGTCCCTAGACCCTATCTAAACCCTAAAGGTCCCGAGACCCTAAATAAACCCTAAAGGTCCCTAGACCCTGCATAAACCCTAAAGGTCCCTAGATCCTAAATAAACCCTAAAGGTCCCTAGACCCTAAATAAACCCTAAAGGTCCCTAGACCCTAAATAAACCCTACAGGTCCCTAGACCCTATCTAAACCCTAAAGGTCCCTAGACCCTATCTAAACCCTAAAGGTCCCGAGATCCTAAAAACTAAGGTCCCCAAACCCCAACGAGGCCTGGCTCGCCATCTCTGAAGCGGCCGCGCTGGCTCTTCGGTAGGCCTCCCAGTAGGTCCCCTAAACTCCAAGAAGCCTTTGACTTGGGAATATATCCCTTGTGGTTTAGGGTTTAGGGTTTCGGGTTTAGGGGTTTAGGGTTTAGGGTTTGGGGTTTAGGGGTCCCTTGTGGTTTAGGGCTTAGGGGTTGAGGCTGAAAGACAGAATTTCCAAACTATCGTGTTCCATAAAGTGTTTTTTGCGATGCGGTTGCTATAGGGTTTACTGGGTTGTTACACAGGTTCCGTCAACCTCCGTAGGAGTTTCGTAAAGGTTCTGTACAGGTTTCGTACAACCCCAAAACCAAGACTCTGCCACGGCGCGTGCGCTCTAAGCCCGTTCATCAAAACGCCTGCCCTTAACCATAAACCCTAGACCCCAACTACCCTCAAATATATTCCCAAATACCCACTATCAAGGGCTCTATACCCCAACTACCCTCAAATATCTTCCCAAATACACACTATTAAGGGCTCTATTACCCAACTACCCTCAAATATCTTCCCAAATACCAACTATCTAGGGCTCTATTTCACCCGAAGGCTCCATGTACCTTTACAGTAGATCCTTAAGCCTTAAAGGGGTCCCTATATGGGCACTTTAAGGCCTAAGTGTATATACTATATGGGTACATGGAGCCTTATTTCCTAAACCCCATAGAACCCTTTAAAGGAACCCTTTAAAGGAACCCTTTAAAGGAATCCTATATGGGTACATGGAGCCTATTAAGGGCTCTATTACAGGGTACTGGGAACAAAAACCGTGGAGGGACCTTCTGCATATTGCTGAAGGCATCGTCCAAGGAGTCCAGGGCGTAGCCGCCCGACATGGCTCGTGGGATTTAGGGTCCCTCTAAGGGTGCCTTTAAAGGGTTCCTCTTAGGGTGCCTTTCAAGCTTACTATAATGGATGGATTTAGGAATTCCTTTAAGAGTGCCTCTAATTTAAGGGTTCCTCTGAAGAGTGTCTTTTAAGGGTTACTCTAATGGGTTTCCATAGGGGTTACCACACGGATGGGGTGTTTCTAGGGCTTCGGGCTTAGTGAAGAATGTTTCTGGATCTTTTGGTTTCCGGCTGGGTAGGGTTTAGGGTTAGGACTGGCTTCATCTTCGGTTCTGGGCAGTTCTGGGTTTGAGGGTTCAGGGTCTGGCAAGTCGGATGTGGTCGCTTCAAGGTTGGGGCGGCGAGAGAGTGGAGCCCCCGCGGTGTTTTGAGCTCAGCATGGCCGAAGCTTCTCAGTGGCTAGGTGGGGCTTTTAATGCCTTTGAAAAATATTAGTAAATAAGAGTCTCTTAAGCCCAATAAGGGAAAACATAAAATGTCCCAAAGCCCTACCTAGGTGGTCATGGAGCTGGAAAACTGCAGGCGGCTGGCGACACTAGGCCGAAGCGGATCAGCAGCTCTGCAGGTCAAGGTTTAGGGTGGTTTAAACATGGCCAGAATAATTAGACTCGAGTTTCGGGGCCCATAATACAATAGTCATGATAAGGAATCCCCCCCAAAATAATACAGGTAATTATTTAAGGCCCCATAGTCGTGTCGCGGACTTAGGTTCAGTGCAGCCTCACCCAAATACTAGCTTGTCCTGTGCGCACTCTGACATCGCTTGACACTTATAATACCACATCTGGATATTCTAGAGTAGACCTTTTGTATTATTATCAAACCTTGTAAAATGCAACCCTTTGCCAAACCCAACAAAACCCAAAGACAAGAAGGCACATGGACCCTCACAGGACGACATCTTAGCAAACACCCAACCCTGAAACCTAAACCCTGAAAACCTGAACCCATCAACTCGCATAGTTCCATACCGACAACCTGAAGGCTATGGACAACCTCAACTCGAGGGTTCCTGTAGGTGCTACCGGGGACTGCACCAAGGACGATACCGATTTCATAACGCATTCTGGTGCTTTTGTGGGGTTCTCGACTTCTTATCGGGCTTCTAGAAAGCAGAAAACCAGAGTTTCTCGTCCATGTGCCCCGAATTGACTATATACTGCCGGAAAGTTTGAGGTGGTTTAGGGTTTAGGGTTTAGGGTTTAGGGTGAAGTTGGACTTGGTAGTCATACCGCATCTGCGCACCCTGTACCCATCCCGAGCCACTCGTCCCCAACGAACAGAGGATCAACACGAGAACCTTGATCTCAGTCTCCCCTCCAAAACATGACACCCTGAAGCCTGAAGCCTAAACCCCAAAACCCTAAAACCCTTACGCCTTTAAAAGGACTCTCAAAGAACCCTGCAGCCGAAAAGAAGGGAACCCTGAGCATTCCATCGCTGGTCCTGACGCACCTGCTCTCGGCGAGTGGCCTCCAAGTTCTTTTTGAGTAGCTGCTGCCTGGGTGTTATGGTCTGATGGTTTAGCGTTTAGAGGTGTAATTAGGTACGGGGGTTTAGGGTTCGGAGGGGTTTACGGTTCCCAGAAGAAAGAGGCCCTTCAATCTAGAGAATCTAGAGAGCAGAGAGGCTTCGGATGGCATGTGCGGCTCTACTGTGGGTTATCTGGGGGCTTTGTAGGCTCTCTAGGTGTGCATAGCAAGGCTGTCGCAGCGTTCAGCTACGGCTTTGCTTAGTTTCATTTTGCAATAAGGGGTTTAGGATTTTCGGAGCTGGGCCCGGGTTCCAAACTCTGAGCCCCGACATTTAGGGTTTCGGGTTTAGGGGTCTAGGGTTATACCAAAAACCACCCCAAACCCCTGAACCTCCGCAGGAGTTTTAACAGGGCTTCTGTTGCGAATTGAAGCTCTGTTTGTTCGCATTCAATGAATAGGCTGAGGATCGAATGGCAACGTGGGTCTTACCAAATGACTCAAAGCACACACGTGGACGGCAGCACCATGAAACCTCGAAGTGGAAACCCCA